CTCCCAATATTAAGTCAGAAATCCTACGTGATTTTCTGTCTGTCATGCTCTGGATTTTTCAAAATCTTCCAGAGACAGGATCCTGGCCAAATCACGCAGGAGCTTTGAATTAACATCTATAAACTTAAAAAACAAACATAGGTCTCACTCAGTTTCTGAATAGAAGCCTGGTGGAGATACTCAAGTGGTAGGGTTTTGACTAGTGGAATGTAAACAAATGAGAAGTTGTGATAGGATAGCAGTGGGATAAGAGGGTACAGAGTAGATAGATAGACGAGGACAGAAAGAGGAGTGATAGTGTAACCGTTTTCGGCAGGACGTTTCTCGAAGGATTGGCTTCACTTTTCTCTTTGACGAGTTCGTAGTTTGTTGCGGCGAATAGCAAAACTCACTGATTATGCCGACTATGATGCCGGCGAAACGTTTGAGAATGTACCAAATCCACTGTCAGATGCCGGTTAATGACAACTACTATGGCAGACGACTTCGGACTAGGTGCGTTCTACTAAGTCGCCCTGACGACAACACCAAGTTGCCACAACGAGGTCAACCCATTTGTATAAAAGATTCTATTGTTATTCTTTTATTCGAAAAGGCCGTTCTCATCCAAAATGAAAGGTGTTATCCAGGTCGCTTCAACGACATTCGAACTCGAGATGTGTAAGACAAGAGGCAAACACGTCAGCCCTAGGCCACACAAAATGTATGAATTTAAAGGCATTATTATCTTGTAGACCACTTTGTACCGATAGACTACAATGACTATTAAGGTAGTTTGACCTCAGTCTTACAACTTGGTTGTGTTGTCAAGACGGCCTAGTTGGATGCACCTTGCCCATAATCCTCCACCACAGTAACTACGACAAATCCCAGCATCGGATCGTCGAGTTGATACATTCCCAGACGTGACTGTAACCGAGGGAAATTAGTCGGCCAGCAAGACAAGACATGATAGAAGGAGACTCGAAGAGGAGGCCCAAGTCGGATGAGCGATTACGGAAAATCGAGAATTAAAATGGGCGTGAAGACGCCACACTAAACTAGCTTCCTCCCGAGAAGATGTGATATGGAGGGAGTAAGGTAAGAGGACAGAAGGAGGCGCGATAACACAACCGTTCGACGGAAATTTGGTCGAGGGATTGACTTCACTTGTCTCTGAAGCATTGTTGCTAGGTGCTAACAATTTCAAGGCTCGCTGTGGTAATGTACCAAGTAGACGATATAACGCCAGGAGTTATGATAACCAATATGGCAGAGGACTTCGGACAAGGTGCGTTCAAAAGGGGCGTCTTAACAACACGGTCGAATTGCAAAAACGAGATTAAACCACTTTCATACAGCAAAAAAGACTGCAACATATCGGTCTTTATATCGGCAATGCTTTTGTTTTGCGAGTAGACTCTGCTTATATGCGAAAAACGTAAAGTTGATATACTATTTGCTTTTAATGTTAGTGAAATTCTTGCCTCAAAGGCCTAAAATTCCCCAAAAATGCTCTAAACTGGGAGTCAACATTGGCCGAGTAAGACAATGGGGCTAGAACAGTGTGGCCTAGAGAATAGCATTTTCATCTTATGACTTACTCTTCCATGTTTCGAGTTCTTCTGGATTTGCAGATGCCGCAATGAGGCGAGCTCAAAAGAGCAGTCCAGAACAACAACCATTTTGAATGTATGCTTCGACGGAGGTCAAAATGGTCCTCCTCCTGAAGCCAGTAACAATGGACGTCTTACATGTATGTGTGTATGTGTGTATGTGTGTATGTGTGTATGCGCATATGTCAACAGTGATTTGTTGATATCTTTCAAACTGAAAATTGCCTGACCACATTTGCACCTTCTCTACTCGCCCACCTGTCGTTCTCCCAGGTTCGGTGCGGCACATGTCCGTAAAGGCCGCTGGGGGTAGCATGTGTGATTCGCGTGGTGGTAACCACACCGACGGAGAGGCCGGCGTCCAGCGCATGCATCGCGATGGAGCGAGTGTCGTGCTCCGGCTTGTAGCTGCTGCAGTCTTTCGGCTTCACCTTTCCCGACACGCCAATTAGGCCATACCTTGTTTTGACGCCTGAAGGAAAGGAACGGGACGGGGAGGCAAGAGAGCAACGTGAATGTGCATGTCTTTGTGCCGCAGCCTGTGACCTAGTCAGCTCAACAAGGTTGGTCGGCCGGCTTGGTATGATCTGTAGAGAACAAGTGTTTGACAGACTTTGCGCATCTTCCGTACTCTCTAGAATTTGACGAATCTCGAAAAAGGACTGGGACTAGGTCCAGGGGCAGGAGTCCTCAGAGAAGAAATAGCCGAACATGCCTTTAAGACATTCTGGATGGTAGATCCATACCTGTTGAGCTTAATTCCATTTCGAGTGGAAGTGTTTGGGGAAGAGATTCGAAGGTTGGTTTCACCAGAAGACGACGGCAGATTCTTCTTGACCAGCTGTCGATTGGCTTTACTGCAACATTCATGCTGACACTGTTTCCGAGGAAATATCTTTCGAATACTTGGAATGGAAGGAAGCTCAACAATTATGAAAGAAGATATTCCTCAAAACCCAACTTTTATTCGTATATATTGTGTTTCTACTGTTAATAATGAAAATTGAAAATGTCAGCAATAGTAAAAATCAGCGTTATCCGTTTATGTAAAATCTTAAACAATACTGCCTAGCTCGATCAAATGAGATGGTTAGGATGAAAATAAAATAAAATTGTTAATAAACTTGCTCAGATATGCCCTTCTTCAATAGGCATAAAGAACAATTGTTGAGCTCTAAACCGACATTTCCTTCGATTATGAAATGTAGTTTTTGAGCTTACTTCCATTTCATGTGAAATTTTTGGGTGAATAGATTCAAAGGTCCGTTCCATTAGAAGACGACGGCAGATTCCTCATGACTAGTTGTCAATTGGATTTACATGAACATTCATGCTGACGCTGTTTCCGAAGCAATATCCTTCGATTCCGGTGAAAAGGTGCTAAGCTTTTGTCTGTCATGTGACGAACATCATCAGAACGAGGTATCATCGTCACAACCAAATTTAAGCTAACGAGTCAAGAAAACTCACCGGCAAATCCTTAAAAAGTGGTATATATACTCTACATCC